CGCCGGGCCCCCTCACAGGTGGCGGAGAGGGCGGCTCGTCCCGCGCTGCCGACACCGATCCCTCCCACGGTTCTCAGCGCCCGCGTCTAAATGCGAGTCAAAGCCGAAGGACTTTGCCGTCTTCGCTCACCCACGGGCAAAAATAAATCGCAATGTGCAGATAACAATCGATAACGCAAACAAAATCTCCTGCTCGGGATTATTCAACGGGCATGCTTAAGTACAACGCTATTGATTTGTAACTGGTGAGTTCGTTTGCACACTTCTAATACAAATTAACAGGCACCTCACTCCTTTGTTGGACGCTGATGAATTTCGCGGATTGTGGATAAGAAAGTTAATACAACGTCTATGAACCAAATTATGTTTAAGCTGCTAAACTGTAAGAGTATTACAATCCTAATAATATAAATAGTATGGTAATACTAATCTTATTTCTGCCTTGAAATAGTTCAGAGAGCAATTTGCATATGGAAATGTCTTTATGGAGGAATTAACTTCTAACCTCAGTACAACTGCGAGACTCCAGCTGGAAGGACGCTTATGCCAAATGAACATGTGCACCATTAGCCCAAACGTAAGCACAGATGTGTACATTTACATCCATTAGCAGATTCAGAGAATGACTCTGGAGAGCTGAGAGAGTAGCGAGTCACCAAAGAGCTTCCCAGAAAACTGAACCTTGCAAGCTGAGAAATGATAATTACCTTAACATTCGTACTAAGACTACAATAACAGCCTTAATTAGTAATGAGGACTGACTGTGAAAAGAAGAAGAAAAAAAAGTTGCAGTTTTATTCTTCTCTGGGTGAACTAAGGGTTTTAAAAAGCGCAAAAACACTGGGAAAAATCTCAAATGCAAAGTGCAAGATAACCGTGTAATTACAAGGGATTTTACGCTCGGCTGCTTTGCATGCCTGGTTCACCCGATTGTTTCGAAGGGGGTCCTGGTGCAGAGCAGTGTGAGGACACATTATGGAGAACACTGGAACCGAAGCCCAAAGCCCCCGTGGCACAAGCGGGGGACATGGCGTGTCCCAAAGCACCGACACGAGTGCCAGCTAGAGGTGGCTGGGGGAAAATAGCACACAACTCGCACATTCCCAAACGGGACTGGCAGATCCTGTGTTACCCGCAGAAGGTGTTGATTACCCAGACAAAGCCAATCACCTGGAAGATGTTGAATAATCTGCCCATGGGCCCAAATGGGTTTAGGCTGGGTGTCAGACTCATTTACATGCGTACAGGGTAAATTCAGCAAGGACATGGATAGTTCTTCTCAGGTACAACTAGTGTCTTTGTTTCTTCTCAGGATTGTTTTATGAGCCAAAAAGAACTACACAAATTAGTTTTCCAGTTGCTTCCCTTTATCTTCCCCATCTTTAATAAATCCAGGATTCAGAATAACATTACTGACCTCTGATGTACTGTAGTGTGAAAGATCCTGGCTAGAAAGAGACCTGAAGGCCACCAGTCCTTCCCTGGTGTTGGTCAAGTCCTCAACCCCGTTTCTTCTTCTGCTTTTTCCTCTTCTATGCCTTCTAAATAAAAGTAAAAGCCATTACAGAGTAACTTTTCACAACAGTGTTTGAACTTATTAGTCACGAAGGCAGCTACAAATGCTGTCACAAACAGTCCCACAGTGGCAGTGGTTGCTGTATCTTGCATTGCTGAAGCACAAAACATGAAAGGTCATCAATCAGGTTGTAATTAAGTCTTAGAACCAGAAATATATTTTCCATCTTTGCTTTGTTTTCACTCCACAGCATATTTCCCCATAGCTGTTAGATGGTTTAAGGGCTGAGGAAAGGGATGTTTCCTCATTTAAGGAATCATTAAAGGAAAAAGGCTTGCATATAATATAATGTGCACTTTTTAGCACCTTTTCCTCTTTTATGCAGATTACCAGGCTTAAATTTGCTCTAGCACCAATTACTTTTTCTGATATAAGGTAAATTGAAGTTCCTGTATTAAGCATCCTTTTAAAAAGGAGGAGGGGGAGAGAGGTGGGGGGAAGCAAAAACATGTTTTACCACATTTGATTCTCTTACACTATTTATTCCATCCAACTTACGACATCATTTCCACAACATCACACAACTCTGTTTAGTACTATTATTCTGTTTGGACTTCCAAGAAATTTTTGCTTTATATTTCTGAAGTTCTTATACTAGTAATATAGGGTCTGGAATGGAAGGAATAGCAGGTAACATACCTGATACAGGTTTTTATATTTTCTAGAGTCTTCTCACAATCAAAACCACAGAAAACACTTTTGGTCAGCCCTGTAGTGGTCAGGCAGTTTAACTTAATGGTCATTATAGATCCTTTCCACTGAAATATATTACAATAGAGAGTCAAACCCAAAATTATTCTATTTAAGTAAGTATATTCAATTTATGGTTGCTCTTCTTACAACAGAAAGAGAGGTTAGAATATACTTCAGCACTTATCCCCACCAAAGAATAGACATAGGGGAAAAAATAAAATATATATTAAATAAATAAATAAATTTAAAAAAAACCCCAAAATTCTAACACACTCCAGAGTCTGATTTGATTACTTCAAACAGCTTGAAAATCTTTGAAGAGCAAAGATTATATTCTTCCATTTTCTAGAATATGACAATATTAATCATATTAATCATAAAAATTACAGCATTCTATTCTTGATACTCTGACTGATGTTGAAGATGTATTTATGACACGACTCTATGGGGTTAGAGCATGTGAAATCATATAAACACATGTACTGAGTAACTAAAGGCTAGAATGATCCCAATTCTAATTTATTTTGGATACACACATCACCTGACTTTTTGTTCTTTCAACTTGACAGCTAACTAGGTTTTTAATATTAATATTTCATTATAAAGATATTAATAATTCATTATATCCTGGAAAATGATGCTATTTTATTCCAGTACAAAACAATGATTTGCATGCAAGCTTTACTGCAAATTTAATTAAACTTGTCAGTTAACAGAATTCAATATATTTCATCATATTAAATGAGGCAGTATGACTTAACCTTAGTGGTGTGCCAAGAAAGGGTCAACTCAGAAGTGTATGGAAGCACTTTGAGATTTTCTTTACCTATCTGGACCTGCTTCCACAGTCTGTACTTCACGCATTTCTTCATACTGTATCCCAAAGCAGTCTCACAGGAGTGCTCCTTCTCAGCCAGTGAACTGGTATTAACCACAGAGCAGCAAGAGAAAATAAATGTGTAGTGCCAAAATACTGTTTGCTTAGCTCCCTTACCTTGAACCATGTTCATAACCCGAGTGGTCTTTGCTTCAGCTGCCACAGCCCAGCATGGAAGATCACAGATTTCAGGGGAGATTTGTTTAACTACACAACTCAGTAATGGCAAGCTTAAAGTGAATATTGCTTGGACAATTGCACCATTTCCAGCACGGAAATTCCATCATCTTCACTTCCCCTTCACAGTCGGTATCTTCCCCACAGAAGGACATTTCTCAATGACCAGACACCCTTGTTTTGCCACCTAACAGCAAACCAAATTACCAGTATCTGCAGAGCTTGCTCTGCCTGCAATCTGAGCAACTGAAGAGCTTGTAGGAAAGCAATGTCAGGAGTGTAATGGCTAGTGGAGAAATTTGGAAGCATCAAATGCTTAATATAAGCACAGAGAGAGCTAAAGGCTTATCAAACATACTCATTTTAGGTAATTTCAAAGCTTCCTTTTCTGTAACTGCAAGAGAGTCTTTTGATTTGGCATTTAGAAGTCCCAAGGAGACAGCAGAAATTAATATTTTATTTGCTGTGCTTAAATAAGGAACAGTACTTTAAAATTACAGAGAATATCGTTTGTTCTAGCACCTTTCACAGTGCCAAATGGGATGAGACACTAGATCTGAAATCTTAAAGAGGATTTATTTTTAGCTTACTTTTCTATGAATTTTCAGGATTTACCATAGAGTTTTTTCAGTTTTCAGCCAAAGGATTATTTGCAAACTGTTTACTCTAAACATGAGAGCTGTGTTTTATGATGCAGAACTAGTATCACTAGAAACATTTACAAGTATTTTGTATCATTCTATCTTCTGGAACTGAACTAAGAACAACGAAATGTAGTGAAGAGTAAACTCTTTGGGACTTGTAAACGCAACCAAAAATTAGGCCAATTTTTTGCAATTACATGTGCAAAAAACATCAAGTATTTTTTGTGACTGTATGGAGCTATTCACTGAATATGCAAAATAGAGTAGGTGAATAGTTAATATACAATGTTCAGTTTGTTAGTTGAGAGATTACATCAACGAAAAAATCCCTTTCTTGCTCTGTTTTGAGAAGTTCCTACCTACTTGCACCTTTGCCTTCCAAAAAAATCAGACTCCTGTTAGGGAACTCAGGCTGTTAGTTTAGCAAAGAGGCAGGAAAAGCCAACACAGCTGCATGCAGTGAGATCACATTTATCTCACTGGGTCTGAATTCTCTTACTAGAGTCACCTCCCTTCTGTGCAATGTTTCCCAGATTTCAACAACCAAGTCAAACACAGAATTGGTAAAAAATATGAAATCTTGTAGTTATCCAATTGCAGCTGAACATTAACATAACACTGGATTCCACAAGAAAATGTATATAGATTTTGGTGTGGCTATTCTTCCTAATGGACTGTTCAGTGATGAAAACTAAATGCAACCTGAAAAGAATTAAGTCATTCTGATCTCACAGCCCCAGTAATGAACGTAACAAAATCACTTTAGAAAACTCACCAACATGTAAGATTGTCACCAACATGTATGATTGATTTGAATTCAAAGCTGGATGATTGTTTAAGAAGTATCTTTTTTTATCATGCAAAGTTTAACCCTTAAGCTGGAACATTCCACATATTTTTCAGTAATTTTAACACCAGCTATAATAATAACTTTGAAGTCTATGAAGTGTGTTTGACTTTTATCACATATCCCTTTTTAATACTAACAATGCAAATTAGCTTTTTCTTTAAAATTGCTGTTGACTAGATCTGGGAAACTTTCCAAATAGTAGTAATAATAATAATAAATTATTTAGAAGCATCTAAAATGCCATTAATTAATAGAATTTCAGTATATAGCAAAGTCTGGAGCCTAACAAACATTAAAATAAGATTGGACAGAAATAGCACAAAATACTTTTTAATTACAGTTTTCAAGCTATTTGGATAGCTCAAATACTGGACCAGATGATCTCAGTGAAAAATGATTTAAAAAAATTTCTTCACCATCTGATACTAAACATTTTCACTTATTTTTGTGGGAAAGATTTTGTACTCTAAGAAAATATGGATTTAACTTTGCAAAAGAGGCCACTCTCCTGGAAACTGTGTACATAATATTCCAAACAGTGTTGGAGGACAGTCTAGCACATTTTAGAGTAATTTACATACTAAAAAAGTTGCAATAATCATGGGAAGGTAATTATTTACCTGTTCTTACCAGAAACTACAGTGATTTTTAATTTTGAACATTAGCTCCACTAACATGAGAGAAATAAGAGTATGGAATTTAATTACACACACTCAGACACACATTCTCCCAAGATATGACAGTGACGCCAAGTGTGGAAGTTACTCCCCAATCTTTGAGACCTCAAGTATTTAACAAGCCCAAGCTGCCATTATTGTCCAACACCCCCTTGTGGCTACAAACACACACCCCACATACAAGATTCCACCACCCCAGCAAAGGCAGTTAATTAGAAGCAATAAAAAAAGTTATGAATCTTGTACAGAAATGGAGCCACATTCATAGCAGATGGGAACTGGAACACTAATTTTACAGAACAGCCTGTGTTTAAGAGGAAGAATGAACAAAAACAAGTGTATAAAAAAATAAGGAAATACAGAAAATGATTGACAGCAGAACTGAAGAGCTACACTGCAAAAAATGGATCCTCTTCAAAGTTATTTTCAAAAATCTGGAATTCGAACCCATGTTATATGGAAAGCTCAAAAAATTGGATATCGAAGAAATAAAAATGTGAGCAACCCATCTCTGTGGAAGCTAAATGACATCTATCTCTCTTACTACCTGAAGTGCAACTACAATGGTACTCCATCTCCACTTACTTTTCTTTCTGAAAATAAAGCTTAAGACTATATGTTATAGTTTTCATTATCTGGATAGATGGTACACTGCCCTCCCTCCTTCTTGGCTTTAGAAGAAGCTGATAACACTTGACTTAAGATTTTTGACAATAAGTAGGCTAAAGTGATTTTTTTTCTCAATTATTCTTTATAAAAAAAAGGAATTAAAGTCATGATTCAGAATATCCATTAAGACCATGGTAGTTTAGAGAAGAGGAAGAACATTTTGTCATTATACCAAATAATACATTCTAATCAAACAGGTCTTTGTAGGTTTAGAAACTACACTCTCTAATAATATTTTAATTGGTT